TTTAATCTTTAAACTTACTTAAATCTTCTTTCTCCCAGGATAGAAGGAAATTCTCCCAGTGTACAGCAAGTTGCCCTTCAGAAGGTTTTTAATTATCAAGTAAATTGCTAATAAGTAATTTCCGATGTTAATTAAAACAGGAAGTGAAAGCAAATCTAATGTCTCTTTGGAAGCTCCGAATCGTGGCTTGGGCTCAATGCTTCCTGCGACTCCCAAAGTGCTCAACCCTCTGGAGATTGCTAAATTGCAATCTCTTCACAGGGAGCCTCTATAAGAAGTACTTGTGGGTGTTCCGGTCACCTCCTTTGTCTGGAGATGATTCTGAAGAGCTGGACTTTTTGCTGGCCTTCTTAACCGCCATGGTTGTTGGCTCCACAAAAATGGAGCTGTCTTCAATCTACCATTACTTCCCTGGAAGTCTCGATTATATCCCTATTCTGAAGAACATTTGATCCTGAATCTGCTACTTTATACTGCAGTCTCCTATATTACTACATACCCATAAATTCCAAAGAGTTTGGTGAGATCCAGTTAAGTATTGAGTAAATTACAGTGCTATATTCCCCCCACTCCCCTCTGGTTTGCTCTAATAAGCAGAGAGGTGGTTCTTTTAGGGTCATTTGGGTATATCTGGTATTCATATTGCACATGCAGTTGCATATGTTTAATATAATTATTCTACTATCAATGAAAGACTGAGCAGAATGTTTTAATAAGGAACATCTATGCTTCTAAAAGCATTTAAATCTGTTAACATGGTTGCGATAGTGACATTAGAAATGTTTTTTGAATTGCCTCTTTAAGAGTACTTAAAGGTCACCCCCCCACCTGAAATGGTACTTTGCATTTTTATTGTACATCATTGAATATGGGTTCTTGAATATAATTTTTGACCTTTGAAATTTTCTCAGTAAGTATAATAAGGTCTATTAGTCTTCACCTTGGAGCCAGCTAAATTGCCAAAACCTTTCTTGTTATTTTAAATTAAGCTCCAATGGCCACTTGGAAGCGTTGTCCCCTTGTCACTGCCCCAAATAAACTGCTAATCCATAAATGCCTCTCTTGATTTATTCTATGGTGTGTTATTTACCTCAATTTTCTATTATGTTTCCTTAATAAAAAGAATCTTCCTGAGCTGGATTTGTTCTTTTTTTCCCTGTTTGATGTTCTAGAAGTTTAAAGCTCAAGTTGTCAGTTTCCTGTGGAGCCACACACAGAGCAAGGTGAGACCCTAGAAAATGAAGCGGCTTTGGCCAAATACTGCCCCTATTTAGATATTTTCTGTGCTGCATAAACTCCTAGTTTCTCTGTCCAATCCTACATTGTTTTGGTAACATATTGTGATCATGGTTATGTTGATGAAGGCACTGTTTTTCTTATAAGCACTGGACATCTTCCTAATGCTTTATCTAATGGCATAGGTATGATTGGACAAAGGTGTTGAAAACTCAGGCCTTACAGTTCCATAAAAATCCCCAAATATCATCAAGACAGCAGTAGAGCCATAGTAAACAAAAGGTGTGGGTTGATATGTCCATGTAAGAAAGTAACCATTCTTCATTTCTAAAACATTTTGTAGTCAGGAGGCTTCTGGCTGGGCATATAGTTACAGATGCTAGTGTTATTCTTTTACCTTTTAAAACACATAACCAGTCGCAACCACAAAATGGTGCTTACGTCCAAATATGTTTAGCATCAGTACTGCAGTGGGTAATATAAATGAGTTTAAAATACAAATCTGCATATATAGTTTTTCTAGAATTGGCAAATTGTTTTTTCTTACATATTAGCAATGTAGAAGCAGTGAAAAATAAGGATGTGGAGGAGATATGCCATAGATTGCTATAAAATCAGATTTGAGAGATCCACCAGACTAGACTCCATTGTGATATAAGCAGCAGGATCTTTTTTCAGTAAAAATCTAAATAAAATATTATTTGTTTGTGAAAGATGTATCCCTAATGAGCATATTTCTGAAAGTTGTATATAAAAAGTGACAGGTTTTTTATTTCAGAACTTTAGATATAGATTATATTCATTTAGGTTTGAAAAACTTATCTCAGAAAAATGTATGTAAAAAGCAAGATCATTAGGAATAATTAAAAAAAAAATTATCAAGGATTTTTTTAAAAAAATGTAAATTAGACTACAGGTACTCCTCACTTAACGACCATTCATCAAGTGACTGCTCAAGGTTACAACGGCACTAAAAGTGACTTACGACTGATGCCCAAAGTTATGACTGGGGGAGATGGATGGCATATAAATTTAATAAATGATGACCGTCACAGCACCCCCGCAGTCACATGATCACAATATGGTTGCTTGGCAACCAGCTTGCACTTACGACAGTTGCAGTGTCCCAGGATCAAATGATCACCATCTACGGCCTTCCCAGCCGGCTTCCAGCAAGCAAAATCAATGGGGAACCATGTGATTCACTTAATGACTATGTGATTCACTTAACAACCACTGCAAAAGTTGTAAAATTGGGTCCAGTCACGTGATTATTTGCTTAACCACATCGCTTAGCGATCTAAATTCCAGTCCCAATTGTGGTCATTAAGTGGGGACTACCTGTAGTTGTATACAATAATGCTTTTCACATTGAGAAAAATGGAGAAATAAAATGTATGATGAAAATTTGGAACTGAAAAATCTACTTAGAAATTATTTTTCAAAAATCCAGTGGATTAAAATACACTAATGCGAATAACTCTGCATAACCCTACTGACTTGCATATTCATAGCTGAAAACAGAGTGGTAGAGAGAAAACTTTAATTTTGTGCCTCACATCTGAGATTGACCATCTTGAAATTGACCCAGTAAGAACTAGGTGGTGTCAGGGGAGATTGTAAGATTTTGAAGCCCAGAGTTTAAAACAATGAAGGGCAATTGGTAGCCTTTGGATTATTTTCATGCTGTTTTTAGGGTAATTTCAAAAGCTTTGTAAGTAATACATTCAGTTCTATTGCAAAAATGGCATGCTATGTAAGGAGGAAGGAGGGTCAGAAAAGGGGTACTAAAAATTGTGAAAAATGGGGATCTGAGAAATGAGAATAAATAATGACTTCAGAAAGAGAAAATAGTGATTGTTATGTTTTGGCTCTGGCCCTGCTAATTGTCTGATTCAGCATTGCTATTAGCTTGGAGGTTGGCTTTCATCAGATTACTGCTGTGGGGGTGTGGCCCTTGTCTGGAAAAAGATCTAAAATTTAGAACATCTGTGTTCCAAATTACCTAGCTGTACCATTGTCTACTTTGCCACATCCTGATATCTAGCTACAATTACTAGTATAAGGAGGAACAATGCAGCCAATACAATCCCATGTATTTGGAGTTACATCTGTAGATTACTGGGATGATCTGAGCCCAATCAAGAGTAAATCTTTTGTTTACAATTTATTTCAATGTGATGTGTGATAGCATGCTGTTTCTTGACACGTTTCCTTTTTCTTTTGGTCTTATGCATTAAGACTTAACTGAATGTAAGCGATGTTAACCTTAGGAATAGTACCTAAATCCAGTATTTGGACCCATTCCAGTGCAGAAAGGAGCTATACAGTTTTCCCAGCACAACACTATTTTATACCATATTTATTGTTACTTAACATCTGTCCTCTGTATTCCTTTTTTGCTCTTGTTTCTTAGCTTATTCAAATGATGTGATTTATAATGATGTACAATCAAAAGGTATATTTTCTATACTGCCTCCTACCTTTTTTTTTTCCTTCTCACTGGGACATTCTGAAAAATAGTGCATATGTTATTGCAATGGAACATCAGTTTCCCAGGAGTTTCCAAACATATCATATTCTTAATACAGATCTCCAGATCAGTAGTGATTGACAGGGAGACATACAAATTTTATTAAATGAATTGATACAGCCAGAAACTGACACACTATTTACATATATTACTTTATTTATTGTGTCATGAGCTTTATTTATTATATAAACTCTCTTATATAAGCTGTTATATAAGGATCAACATCCACAGCAAGCCATGATGACACCACAACATAAATGTGATGTCATCATGTACATTTTGCCATTTGCCCCTCTTTCCCCTCCCAGAGATACCCATGATAAACTTATTATATAATCAGTCACAATAGCCTAACATCATTTTATCCCAAACCATCAGCCCCTACTCTGCAGATGGTCCCCATCAAGTAGCATCCCCTGCACTGAAACGTCTTTGAAAAAGTACTATTTTAGTGTGCATCCAGAATACCAGTAGAGAAGGGGCCAAGGCAGGCTTTTCCAGAACAAGGGGGCTATGACCAAAAAGGCCTGCTTCTGTGCTTTCACTTCCTTCAGGAAGGGATCCACAGGATGTGCTTTTGATCACTGGATAGGTAGATTCCACTTGAAGCAAATGGTCCCCAAGAGAATGAGGACCCAGTTTGATTTGGATCCAGAAGCCTATTGCTGACCAGTATGGCTCCCACAAAATTAATGATGTTCTACTAAACTGGCTGCTGCATTTTCTGCCCACTGAATTTTTCTTAAACAGAGGCTGGTACACCTGCTATTTGAATAAACCTGATATTCAGACTATGGTTCCTGTGAGTGTCATTGTTCAAATTAAGTAAATGACAACACAACAATCACACTCTTGCTGCTTTCTGCCAGTTTGTTGCTTATTAGGTACAACAGACAATGTTTTTGTTAACTTGGGAAGGAAAAGACTGTGTTGCTGACTGGGGGCGGGCGGCGTATCCATCCATGAAGGCCATGCAAGCCATTCTTCAGCAGCAAAGCTTCCCCACACCGCCTATGAAATTTAATGGAAAAATTATTCCATTCACTTACAAATTGCATTCCAAAACAGGATTTGGGGGCGTGGGGGGGGGGGAAACGGCCTACTTTTCTGAATGTTCCTACTGTATGTTTTCTTTTTCTGTTCATTCCTGATGTTCAGTCATAGAATATACTAAGACAAAAAGGAAATCCTTCTATTACAGCTATGCTGTGGTTATTTAAAGCTGGCACATAAGCCTGTTTGTGTTTGTAGAATTATTTGGAATTGCTGAGAGAGGTCCATTGAGATTCCATTTAATTCATTTTTCTGCTAAAATTTAAAACAAAGGCATACCTTTTGGTGGCCATGCCCAATTGTATTGTTGTTTGACTGTGTTCATTGTATAAGATGCAATTTTTACCTACAGAAAAATGTAAGAGGGTTTTTATATTTTACTTTATATACTATACTTTAGACAGAAATATAAATTTATTCCACTTACCTCAAAATATAAGGCAGTCAATTTGTATTTTGAGACTTTTGATCATACTATTAAGTAATATCTCTGATGTTTACCTCAAAGTCCTTCTCTGGTGTCACCACCACAGAATAATATATCTTAAGTGTAGTAAAAAAAATAGGTTTCTTTTGTGCAGTTTAATTTTTTGGTGGTGTGATTTTTGGGGCCCACTATTTGCTTTTATCCACAAGGTTCAAGAGAATTTAGAACTTGGTCTACATTCTCCACCTGGAAAATCAATGCTACCTTTAAGATAATAGATAATACAGTGTTTTTTCCTTACCCATCCTTATTTGCAATGATGTGACGGCAATATTTTTCTTTAGGATTCTCTTGTAGCCATCTCCGCATACAAATCTCTCTCTGAATTTCGTTCTGAAGAATACACTATCCTCCATCTTCCTGAACAGGTAGACTTTTCTTACTTTAATTATGGGTGAGTGTAGTAATCATAAGAAATACAAAACAGTGTGGAAACAGTGTCCAGTCCTTGTTTGGACATTCATGAATTCATCTGATCTAGTAGGAAATGGCTTTATAGTTGTTAGTCCACCTCCTGTATTATGTCCCAGTTGCCTGGACTCACATCCTTCCACATGTTGCAGGTGGGAGTTCGGAACCAAGTAACCTTCTGTAAATGGGCACATTTCCCTTGAAAATAATCAGATTTTTGAATTGCATAGAAAGCAGAAGCTGAGCTAAGGAAGACATGATGGAAGGGATAAGGCCAGTAAGAAGAGCCTAGCTCTCATCCTTAATGGTCAAATAATGTGGGGATTGACTACTCCAATGCAGCTAAAAAAGGTTTACAGTTTGAACGAGAGAAGCAACACATGAAATTAATACTTTTTCACAGCTTTTCTTTTGATTTAGGAGATTGCTCCTAGTAACATTTTAATAATAGCTGAGAAGTATGCTGTGTTCTACTTGCTCTGTTGGTTGACTTTCAAATTCAGTTCAAAATACTGACTTGATTTTTGAAACATTGTGCATCCATAGGAAACATCTCTTCCCATATGACCCCATGCCAGTGGTTTAAAAAGTTTGTCCTTTTCTTAATGGATATTAGGCTAAGCCATGGTTTCTTTAATATATTGAATATACCACACTTAGACAACAACAATATGTTGAACAACATATTAACCCTAAACTATGGTTTACAAACCTCTGAGGCTTAGTTCACATAATACATCAAGTCAAAACGATCACATTACAACTTAGCCTGTGTAAATTTGCCAGTAATTATGGTTCTTTCATGAGCTTTCCCAGCCATGACTCCAAGACTGGGCATTTTTTTTAACCTGAGGAGACTAAAACATTTATCTCTTGGTTATGGAGCTTATGGGGAGGTTGCAATATTTCTTTTTAGAAAAGAGAATCAAGCCTTTACTGGGACTGGCATTTTTTCTGAGGCTGCTTAGTTTGTCATGCTTGCTTTATATCAAAATCAAATCTTCATTAAGGTAAGTGAACAACATAAGATAATGTAAAACTATAAGATAAGTAACACTAGTGCTAAAATCAATATAGAAACTACAAAATGGAATATACAGTAAATGATATTAATATAGGTTGGGTTAAGAGTAATATAAGATATTAAAAATTGTCCTATACTAGAATAAAATTTATAATAAAACACAGCAATAAAAACTAAAGGGCTGAATAACTGGGATAGTAAACAATATTACAAATTTATGGACGCTATGTTTATATGGTCCCCTAATTTATATGGATTTATGCTTTAAAAATGTAATATAGAAATATGTTAAATAAATATTCCCCTAAAGAGATTCCAAAGGTGATTCTGGTAAAAGTTAGCATAGGCATAAAATAAATAAATAAATAAAGCTTGCAACTCTAACCTGATACCCACTATACGGTAGATGGCATTGTCCTATTATGAGGGTTAAAAGTATTCAACTGCCCGTCCGGTGGGCTTCTGTTTGTAGTCTGTATGTGAATGAGAGTAATATATTATACTTCATTTCTAGCACCAAAATGGTGCTGGGTACTCCTGTGCTCCTTGGAATAGTGAGTGAGGCTTAGGGTGCCCTATGAAATGATGCAGATGGCAGGGGAGAGAGACAAATGCTGCATTTCCATCCTCTTACCCACTTCTCCTTAATAGAACATTTATATAAGTATTTATTTTATTGTATTTGACTTAGGGGCCACTTGATTCCAGTTCACTCTGGGCAGCTCAGAGCATAAAAACAAAACAACAGTATACAATTTTATAAAAAGCATATGATGTAAAAAGATGCCAAATTTGGTCAACAGTACAAAATTGTCAAACGCAAGGGGCTCCAACCACCGTAGCCCAGTGCCTGGGGGAACTAGGTCTTTAAAATTATTGCCACAGTCCTGTTAAACAAACGTCTGTGTTCATCAAACACCTATGATGAAAAGTCATAAATTTATATGTACTTTTGTATATGAAGTGGCTTATACATTTTTTTAGTGATACCCTTTGTATTGATTTTATGACAACAGAATAAAAGAGACATATTTCATATCTCCAGATTTATTTATAACAACTTTCCCAATAACTATGAAGTCTGAAAATTATGTGAACTGTAGTTCATTGTATTTGAAAGGCACAAAATTGAGAAAGGCTAAAGTTTAGTTGCCCTTCCTTTCAGCTGACTTAGGCAAACTTATTTCCAGTTTTTGAAGTTAGATTCTGTGTAACAGATTGTTTGAACTTTCTTTTTCATGGTTTCTCATTCATATAGGCAAGACCAGAATTGGATCAACAAAAAGTGGATGTAGATGAAGAGGAGGGGGAGGAAGATGGAGAGCCAGATTTGTCTGTTCCTGGCCCCTCATATATCAAATTGTTGTTGCTCACTCCTCCTCCTGTTTTACCAGGTACAATGTATTCATAAAACATGCTAATTTCTAATCAAGTTTTTTAAAAATTTTATATCAAATCCAAATATTTTCTTTAAATTGTTTCTAAAAGTTCAGTTTGGAAGCAGCGCTTTTAGTGTAACTAAATTGTACCAAGCAATCATTAGTGCTGTGAAGAAATTAGGTGCAAGTAGTGATCACCTTCATACATCCCTTAGCTTGCAGAGGTATTTGTTTTATAAAAGTTGGTGAGCTGAATATGGGACAGAGCTGAAGGGCGCACCAAACTAAACTCAGGGCTTGATGTTTCCTGAGTGAATTGAAATGGACTTAGAGTGAAAACATAGGTCTGTAACCTTTGTTTCCAATTGTTTAGAAATCAAGCACAAACATGTATTCCTATACGTTTTTATTTACCTATATAGCTTTGTAAATTATTCACTTAGATAAGGATCACTATAGAAATAATTTAAAAGCAGTAAAATCATAGCAAGGTCTATAAAAATGAAGCTTCATTTTTTTATAGTGAACGATGGGAAAAACACAGCTGCAACTTGTGAATGGAACAGAATCTAACATAAATATTGTCCTGGTCTGTCTCAGGGCCTGGTTTTCAGCTAATGTGCGTTTTTTATGTCTGTGGGGAGAAGATGTATGTGCTTAGGTTTGTATGTGTGCAGATAAAGGTACCAAGTGTTCAAGGCAATATTTAGCCAATAGAATCCCTAGCAATAACCCTGACCTTGATGTCGTTTATCAAACTGATTCTTAAGCAGTAAATAAGTAGCCCCAAAGGTTACTAAATATAACAAGTGAAATAAAGCATTTATGGTATTGGCAGAAGTGCTCTTGTTCTCTTATTTGTGGTAAAAAAGAGGAATGCTAAATAGTTTGGTTTAAATAGTTGTAAAAGGAATTATTCTGGATAAAACAATTCTAAGTAATGCCTGTTGGAAAGTTTGAATGAGGAGTTTTTCCTCTCTTCCCTTATGTAGATAAAGAAAGGCGCATACTATTTCATTGTTTCATATGAATCTGTGCCAGTTGTCCAAAATGTATAGCTAATAGATGCAATAGAAGTCAGTGTTTGACAAATGCACTTTAAGCAGTATGAACAAAAATTGCAAGAAATAACCAAAGTATGCCTTAATGTAAGCACAGATTTAGTTTTATGGTCATGTTAATTTTTTGATCTGCTAGTAGATTTTAAAAGTTCTCCTAGTCTTCCTATAAATAGTGGGCTTCTTTTCATGATGCTTCCCTCTGGCTGTTATTAACAGAAATAACAGGCAGGAAGTGGGGTGGGGAGAATGGGTAGTGTTGGGGAGGATAGATGGAATAAGAAAAGATTGGAGGATAAAAAACCAAGGCATATCAGAGCCTGACTGGATTTTGTTAACTGATTTGTGACACTTTGTGTATGTCTGGCTTGCAGGAATGAGCATATGAATGAATTTTCAGTCGATGCTTGCTTCAGTTTATAAGATACTGAGCACTGTATCTGTTTTAAGAAAAATGTGCATCAAATCCACCCAGCTAATGTGAAACAGTTGTTTTTAGCTTTTCCTTTGGGGAAAAAAATGCAAGTTCTCATTATATAATAAAAAACACTAACAGATTGTTAAACCTAACAAATGTTGCCTTGCTTTGCCAATTGATGATGAAGGAATGAGTAGGAACCCTGCTGTGGTCCCTCTGATACAGAGTTATTTTGTTTGCCCTTGTGTTTTAGTTTCCCAATTATGATAATTGTTTAAAACTTCACCAGTGAACGTAACTAGTGTTTCAAAACCCCAGCTTTGCTATCCGTGATCAACCTTACCTTATTGCATCTATTTATTTTTCAGTATCTGTCTTAGAACAGTTTTATTTTAAATTGCAAAAAACATGGGGTAGATCTAGGCTGGGATATTTTTTGGATGCTGTAATGGTCAAGGTAAAAGTCACTTTTGTTGTTTCAAATTGGGGACCTCATTCCAATGGTCAGACAAAGGGTCCATTGATCAACATATAAAACATTTTAGGCTGTTTGTTTTTGTTTCTGAGCTGGAACATCTGACACCATTTATTGAAGGTTTCCTGAGGTGACATTTTGAGTGGGAGGTGAATATGGAGTCACAAAGTCTTGCTTAGGAATTACAGAAACCATGACCTTGAAGCTGTCAGTTGAATATGGAGTTACCACTTATTTCAGCATAACATTCCCGGATAATCGTTGTGGTTCTGCGTTGGTTGGGTGGTTCTGGTTTCTTCAGTCAATCACCTTTTGTTTTCTTTCTCTCCCCTCACTGCCTTTTCACTTCTTCCCCTCCTCCCCTTCAGCTTTTGAAGAGTTTGCAGCATCGCTTGTGAAAGAAGAGATGGCTAACATGCCTCGTGGAATATACCACTCTGCACTGAGAGGCAATGCTGTGCGGTCAGACCATGGAAAGACACTATCAACTATTCCAAACTTTATGCTGAAAATGTATGAGAGGAACAAGCAGCCGGGGCTGAAACCTGGCCTTGCAGGTAAGTTTCCCCTGGACAAGAGAAGGACCTTTATTTGGTAAAGATTCTTGCAATGCCCTTTGTTTACTTATTGACTTTATTTTATGCCACCTAGAGAGACATTCATAAATTTAAAACATTTAAATGCCACAATTGGCATAACTTGACATTCAGAATAAATACCATGTATTCCTTGCATTTGCATTCCTTATTTAGCCTCAGTAGAATGGCACGCAGTCACCCTTAACACTGTCTACTAAGTGTTCCTAGTGCAAAATTCTGATTACTAAGAGCAGGGGTTTTAAAAAGCTACAGCAAGATTTTAAAAGCCGAAAAAAGAAGGTATTTGAATAGTTTAAAAGCCTGAAAATATATTGAAGGTAAAGCATTCTACAGCTGAAATGTCACCCAAAGTGCTCCTATAGGTTGTTACCTATAAAGCCCTATGTGGCATAGGGCCTGGTTAATTGAGTCCCATAGCTTGTGTCCCATAGCATCTGCCCAGCCAATTAAATCTTGTAGGGCTGGCACACTCTGGATTCCTTTAATTAAACAATGTCATATTTCAGGACCCTGGAAGCAGTAGCTGCCCTCTGGAAGGAGGTTCCCTCTAAGATCTAGCTGGTCCCTACTCTGCTGTTGTTTAGAAGAGCTGTGAAGACCTGGCTCTTCATCCAAGCCATTGGTGAGGGAGAGTGAGATCTCTTGCTTCATTCCATCCAGTCTGTTCTTGCCATGTTTTATCCATTTTATTGTAATGTCTTTGATTGTTGTGAGCCACCCAGAATCTTTGAGAGTCAGGCAGCATGCAAGTTTAATAAATTATTATTATTAGCAGTAGTAGTAGTAGTAGTAGCCATCCACCACAACTCATTTGGAAGGGATATCCATAGAAGGTCCTTCTTAGAAATGTATTTAATTGCTACAGCTGTCTGCTCATACATGACTCTGGGTGGCTCTTAAGGTTTAAAACAACAATATTATCAAATAAAACAAGAATTAAAATGACCATGCCAGGGAAGAAACTACCACAATTAACAAAGGCAACTCAATCTCAGCAGTGGGTTCACCTAACGTCCTGGCCCAGAGCCAGGTCTTCATGATTCTCTTGATGGACAGCAATGTGATGGAATGGACTTATGAAGGCCAGGCTCAGGGAGATAAGCATGTTCTTAGCCCCCA